CGGAAGCCAGATTGGAGGGGTTCGAAAAGGTTGTTTGTCATGAGGTGGTTATGTAACTGAAGTGTGACAGCACGTTCTAGAATTTTAGAGAGAAAGGGTAAGTTGGAGATGGGGCGAAAGTTGTTAAGATTGTCGAGTGCCATGTTAGGCTTCTTTGGCACGGGGGTAATAGCAGCAGTTTTGAGGACCGTTGCTACAATGCCGGTGCTCAAGGATTCATGTATTATATTGAGGACAATGGGACAGAGAGAAGAGAAACAGGACTGGAATAAAATGGTGGGAATGGGATCTAAAATAGATGTGGTGAGTTTCATGCGCGTAACTAGTTTGTTTAGGGATGCTGAGTCAAGAAGAGAGAAGCTGGAGAGACGGGAACCAGAGAAGTTGGATGAGGAGGGAGGAGGTATGGAAATTATATCCGTAGTGGAGAGAATGAGATGCCGGATGTTGTCAATCTTAGAACTCAAGAAATCTAAGAAAATCTAAGTATATGAATTCTGCAACCGAATGAGCTCTCCAAACTTTGTGTAGTTATCTAAGATGTTTTGTCAAGCCTTTTCTGTAACTACCTTGAGTTCTTGCCTACTTGTGGTATGTTCCAACTACTAATTTTTGTTTTCTAAATTTTTCATGCAAAATGCATGTGTAACTGGAAAAACTTTTTTCTCCTGATGAAGTCCTTTGTTCCATTGGCCAAATGCTTTGGGTCATTGTCCAGCTGCCAATGAAGCACCACCCAAAATGCATGAAAGCATTTCCATAAGCAGACAACACTTTTCTGTAAAATTCAGAATTCATTCTGCTGCTGTCATCATTCATTACATCAATAAAGAGGAGTGAGCCAGTTTCAGATGCATGCAAAGCATGCAATGCTCCACCATACTTCACAAATGAGGGGGCCTCCTTTGGAGCTCGTTTTTCTTACCACAGTTTAAACGGTCCATCACTTTGGTAAAGGTTTATCGAAGTCTTAATAGAGAAAGTGTCCTTATTACCCCCGAGGGGGACAATTTATTTTTACGGCAGCAGTTGGTGTACAGAGAGAAAAAAATCACAACTATACGCCTAAATATTTGCAATGAAAATCAAGTGTTAAGTAAGGATATGGCTACAGGTATGAATGAAAACTTAAATCCATTCGTTTTGGAGTTTGGAAGTCGGTATCTGTGCTCTAATGGGAGTAATTGGAATTCATTAAACCAGGGGTTGGTAGGAACGTCACAGATGGATTTTGCTTTACACCAAATCTATAATACTCTATAAAAGTCTAGCAAAGTCTATAAAACTTTGATCAACAGCAGGTGTTTTTCTTGGCTGGCTAAGTCTTGGCTGAATGGCACTTATTACCTGTGGTTCCTTTCTTTTTCATTATACAGTACTACAAATTGTTGATTTTGGGATACCGAACTTCTGAGCTAGGGGTCTCATATTTCTTTCAGCTTCAGAATTGCCTGTTATTCTTTAAATTTTTATTTTGACTTTGGCTGTGGTCTCTAAACACTGAAAACAAAATAAAACAGGTCAATAGGATGTTCACAGCTTTTTTATGAGTACCTTATTACGCAACGACTAAAACTTAAACAACAATATATATGTATTTCCCAACTTTCCCCAATACTTTTGCTTCATCAAAATATATTGGGTTAAGTGAAAATCCGTCTTCACAAAACTTTTGGAAGATATTGTACAAATTCGTAGATATGCATGTATACTGACTGATGCAAAAAAAAAAACTATAACACTTAAGTTTAAAGACTATAATCAAATGGTTTTAAATCACACATACTGTATATATTTTTTAAAAATCACAGAAAATGTGAAAAGAATAAGGATCAAAGAATAATGTTTTCGGTATGAAATGAGATACACTGCCAAAATAAAATCTGTATAATGTTTGTATCGGGTATGACAGTGGTGAAACATAGACCTTGATAGACTGCTACGCCATATTCCTCCACAAAGGAGGAATATCCTGAAGGTTTACAAGTTATAGGTCATTCACTGTGCAAGTACAGTACAGTTCAATTTGTACAGTGCAATTGTGGTGATGGTAACCATTAAATGGTAGCTGTAATATTTCACACATTGTCTTCTGCAGATGGTCTCATTCTCTCTTCACAGTTAGGTCTTAAATCATGCAGAAGGCAACGCAAACTCTTCAGTACTTATGAGGAGTGTCAGCATATCTCTTATTGTTCTTGGATTATTTCAATTTAAACCTTTTTGAATTGTTATTCGTAGAGATTATTAAATGAATTCTGAATGAAAGTAAAATAAACACAGTAACATGTAAAACTTCCAATTCACATCACAAAATGGACAAAATTTCCAGGAATACACAGCACCTTATTGCAGTTGTTGTCTGTGATTCAGAACAATGGAACAAAACTTCCAGTGACTTCAAGCGGCCCCACTATTCTGTAAAGAAGCAGGCTTGTGAATACATGTCTTTTAATCCAATAGAAAATTTGTTTTTGACTTTGAAACAGTTTTGTGGAAAAATACTACCTACTTGTTAACTTGTGCAGATCACGTTGGAACACTTCTAAGATGAAATGTCTGCTGCACAACTTGTACTTATTCGCACGTACATCACATTACATTAGTCATTACAATGACTAGTGAACAAGAAGGTCCGCTTCATGTTACAATTCTCGCAAACTCTCAACAATATGACGACTATATGTACTTTCACAAAGTTCACAATTTTGTCTTTTATTCAGAATTTGTAAAATTTTGCAACACCATCAATTAAATTCTTCTGTTTCTGTGTTTTAGAATCTGGTCTGAGAAACCGGGACTTTAAAACTTATAAATACAGAGAGGTGCTAAAAACACATCAAATGGTTACTGGAAACAAGTACTGGTGTTTGTAATGTTTCTCTGTGTATTTCAATATTTCTTAAATATTTCCGTATACATTATAGCATAATTATCCTTCTTGCATTCTGAAAAATCCATCTGCAATACATGCTCGTATCTTTCAGGTATAGCTGATGTATGAAATAATTACGAATGTTATCAAATCACTCATTTATTCTGCTAGTTCAACTTCAGCAACATTTGGAGAATCTTCTTTTCCTTTGACTTGTATACTTAATCTTTTTCACTTTATATTATTAAACATTTACAACAGGAAAGGCCAAGATTATTGGCTCTAAACCCCACGTCTGGGGTACCTTTTAGGTCTAATGTTTTTTTCAACCTAGCTCTTAATCATTGTTGCTAACAAGTTTCCATAATGGTTCTGCTTAAGATTTTTTATACCTTTTCCATAAATCTGTTTTGGATCTTGTTTCAAAAATACCCTACTTAAAACACATTTTTAGATTTCTGTCTAAACATCTCTTAACATTTCATTAATTTATGATGAACATACACAGGGTGGAATGACAATGTGTCATGCATTTCCGCAATCACTTTTTTCTTTACTTCTGCATAGGTCCACTCGGTTAGCTTTTAGCTAACACAGCTTAAGAGAGGGAGTACTGCAGCTCAGAAACTGGTAAAGCATACAAGCTAATTTCAAATCTTATTCAAAGTTTTAAGAGCGGCAAACAAATTTAAAAATATGTCTCAGAGAAATTGTAATCAATTAGCCTTTAATTATAAACTCAGTTGGAATGAAAAGTAGAAGACAGGGCTTCCTCTCGACTCAGGCTGCGAACTACTGTCTTAAATCACAGTAGATTACCTTCTCTCAGTGATTCCTTACAGGTGTATTGCTCCTGTATCAGACCCTCCAAGTTCTAATGCTGTTAATGTTGTACTTTCCAGAACAAAAAATAAAAGATTTTTAGAATGTACTTCTTACTTTTATCCCAAAGTGCATTCGTTGCAATGTTGCTGATACATTTATTAATTATATATGTGTAGGAAAGCCAACTGGCATATTCTTTTTAGTTCTGTGGCTGTGAGCTGGTAAAATGAGTATTTCATTTTAAAAAGATTTAAACAACAGGCATACAAATGAGGCATAAAAATGTAAAATATGTAGTTTCCTTGAATTTGGCATAAAGATTACATAAAAAATGTTATAAAATATTTAAAGTCAACAAAGATTCTAAGTGCAATACAGCTAGTTGTTTTTGCCCATCCCAAATATTTTAAATTACGTGTTGACATTACACAGAGGACAACAAGAACTCAAAACTAAAACAGTACATGAAAAAGCCTCTTTTGTTTGTCTGTAATATAAAATGATGTTAAGATGCTTTTACAAAGTCGCTGCAAACCAAGGCTGAAAATAGCAGGAGGGAAAAAAACAGCAGAAAAGCTGGAGTCTGTGATATGCTAATGAAGCTGCTTTGCTTGAATTACCTCATGCTCCTAATGTCCCAGCCCCGGATGGCTGTGTCATTGGCTGTGGCAACTTGCGTGCAGTTGTGATGGGGGCTCCATCTGCCAGACGTAAACTTCAGCTGACCTTTGCCCTCCAGTGTAGCAGAGCTTGAAATCTGTTTAGTAAAAATCAAAATCAAATTTAGTACTTTACTGACAAAGATACACGGTGTGTATATATTGCCTTTTTTCAGATGCATACCTAAATACTGCAATACTATATCTGTACTCAGTATCTGTTATGTACTCTTAAACAAGTGTTATTCACTATATTGATGTTCTGTATAAGTAAAACTGAAGTTATCGGACACAAATTCCTTTCTAACGAGCTGTTAAAAAAGCAATTATGGTCCTATAGAGAATTAAATAATTTATGATAGGATGCCAATAAATATAGCTATAACACAATACACATCTCCAGAGTTGGAAGCATTTGAATTGACAGCCTTTATCTGAATTTACCCACTAGAACTTGCTAACTGCTCTTGCAACAATAAATGAGTACTGAACAAATGGAATGAAAAAAAAGGAAGAAGTGGGCTATAAACAAATATTAACAGGCTCCACACCATTAAGTGATATCTGACAACTTAAAATGTGTTTGAAGAGGGATATTTTCAGAATTTCTTTTTTTCATCCATTTACCAAAAGTATTAGCCAGGGAACCTCTGTTCCTAACTGCATACCTGGTGATGATGTTAGGAAGAGGAGCAAAACATTATAATTGAAATTTAGAATATTTGATATATGAAAATATTTGATATTTGTTAAATTTTCCATCTGCTGTAATTGCTGATGAGACGTCTTTTTGGCATACAGCATAACTTGGCACATAGTCTGTGAATCAAAATGATGTGGTCATATGGATATTCACATTGAAATGCAACTAAGAATTGCATTCATTTTTTATGTACTGTATATACAATCATATTGAATTTCTCCAAAACATAATATGTTTGTGTTTTTACACATATTATGTATTCAGAGGTATTTGATAAGACACATAGAAGAGAAACTCATTCCCCTGTTAAAGGAAATATACTATGAGGACATATTAAAGGAACTTAATCTTTTTGGTTTCAGTAAATAACACTTGAGAGGTCTGATGTTTTCTGAAGTTAAAAATGAAATCAATAGAGTGAACATAGTATATTTATATATAAACATATTCTATTTAAGTACAGTAAAATAGAGTATTGAACAGTTATGCAATGTCATAACTAGAAACTTATTAAAGCCCAGTTGCACTGTTTTCTTCAGTTTTTCATCCTGTGATGCTCAAGACCTCACTTCCAGATAAGCATTCACTTGAGGTGAACATGCAACAGTGTTTCAGCTTTTCCAGAATACTTGAACGGGGTTCAGATAAGGGGTTAGCATATCAGGATTTGCATTTTCACCACTAAAAGGATCTTGCTGTGTTGTCAGCTCATTCACTTCTAACCTCACTCCAAATTTAATGGGCTCAGTGCTCACAGCAAGAAATACCACTCAATAGATCCCATTTCGCATGCAAGACTGACAGTAAAAATATCATGCTGGTGCACAGAGGTGTTGTACAGACAGTACCCTTTACCGTCTTCTTAAGTCAGTAGCTTTTAAAATCATGAGTTCCAAAGTAGATGTTAATACATTTTGTAATGGAGAATGATGCAACCCTTTAAATGAGCATCTGATGTAAAAAAAAATACATCACATGGATCCGAAGGTTGAATGAAGTAGGCTGAAGTCCAGTCCACCTATTCAAAGTGGAACTGCAGTCTAGATTTCTCAGACAAGTTATTAAGTTTTGGTGACAAAATAAATTCATTGACAGTACAGAAAAAAATTACAAATTCCGAAATAAACACAAATTGTGAACTTGGTGAAAGTAATGTACAGTAAGTCGGTATGTTGTTGCGAACCTCTGGTGTTGCCACGGGCGAAAGTGAGAGTTCACACAAATCGTGCACAAATTGTGATGTCATGCGGCACTTCCTGCTCACTAGTCACTGTAATGATTAATGTAAAGCGGTGTACGAGAGAAGTACAGTTTGTGGAGCAGACACTATACTTGTGGTTTGAAATGTACTCATCAGTGCTGAATCTGTCTAACCCCGAAATATTCGCAATGACACCCTTCCATACAAATAGAAACCAAACCAAGTAATTATCAAGTAATAAACCTTACATCTGGGACATACAAAGTTATGGAAAAGAAAACGAGAACTAAACTAGACAATTATCCGTGTGGTAATTGGATAGTCAGCATGGATTCTGAAAACATTAATTTTATATAACCAACTTATGAAAAGTTCTTTAAACAAGCAACAACAAGAATAATAGCATAAGAACAAATGAGAAAGCCCATCTAGTCCATTGGGTAGAAGCTAACTGATCTCAACTTTTTTTTTCTTACAATAAGCCAGGGTATTGGCTTTCATAACATGACTGAGAAGACTGTGATTCACATTCCTCTGTGAAAAGTGCCTCCTGTTCTCGCATTTAAACGCACAAAAATTGTGTTATGACCTTGTCATGTTTGGTTCACTTTTCATTGCCGTTTCCGAAGTTGACTGGATAGATGGAGGGTTGCGAAAGCTTGAAAGGCTAAACAATTTAGTTTTTTAAATACTTAAAAGAAAAAAACTAAAATCAAGGTTGTATAAACATTTACAATGTACTAGTAAGAACTCACAGAATATTGTGTACAGGCTTGGTCACCATACAGGAATTATTCTCTAGCTCTTTCTCTATAAGATAATACATTCTCTCTCCCACACTGACAGGCTAAAAGAATGGAATGTTTCTTGTCCTAAACAGGGAAGACTGATTCAAGTTTTCAACGTTTTCAAAGTCTTTGATAAAGTCAACAATATGAACTTCTTCAGAAGCAAAAATGTAACGCATACCAGAACACAAGTGGAAACTTTGGGGAACTGCCTATAAAACAGAGAACAGGAGGTTTTTTATTTATTTACACAAAGAGTTTTGAGAGCCTTGAACAAGCTATCCTGCCGTATTGTTGAAGCCCATATCCTGGCCAAGGAGATCCTTGGATGAATTATCTCCTGGAAACTAAACATACAAGATATGCCAAATGACCTCCTCTCATTTGCAACTCTTCTTATGGTCTTATACCAAATTGTTTTGTTCTCATTAAAATGTATACTATTAAGGCTTGATATGTTATTTCAAATGGCATTTTACTAAGGTTAAACTGGAAGCTCTGTGAGATCTCTGGAAATACCTATCCTGACAAACAAATCAATTACTTCAGTAACAGTATCAAATAAAAATAAAAGCTATATTTAGCATAAACATTATTCAGTAAAAGTGTTTATGTACCATACACTCTGAATTTTGATGTGAGAGGGAACATTTTCTGATCTTCTTAAAAATGAACCATTCACTAATACTAAAATGCAAAGAAATAATACCCTGTAGCTGTAATAAACTCATGAAGGTATGAACACCTTATTCATTATAAGCTTTATTAATTAATAGTTGTTATCCCATAGAATTATTATATCACAGCTTATCTGCAGTGCATGATATACATTATTTTCTTAATGAACATCTGAGCATGCAGAGCCTAATGATGCTTTTAACGGTAGTATCGGTAAATGACTGTAATAATTTGGAAACAACTGAATAATAAATCTTTAAAGAAGCAATACAATCTCAAGATCTTTTGTCTTACCGTAGCCTTGGTGCAGTTTTCCTGCAAGTCCCAAAGCAAAAGATGATTATCTGCTAGTGAAATCAACCTTTTGCCATCACCCATGGGTTCCCAGAGAACACTGTAAAACATTTAAAAGGTTAACACGCCTGTTGACCTGTTCAAGACATTTAAAAACTTGTACAGTCATTTCAGCAGTTGTGTTTTGTAAAATTATTTTAACCCTATTCACAAGCACAGATAAATTAAGGTTTATTTGAAGGTAGACAACATTTGAGTCTAATTTAATTTAACTACTTTATGACCACCATTTTAATTTAATGGCCAATGGTGTGCTACGAGAAGATAAAGGAAACCCATTTTCAAAAGGATCCCAGCCAAGTACTGTATGTAATTCGCATCGGCTGCTTGAGAAAAAAAAAATCCTAATGTTATAAATCTAACGCCAAAGGCAGAACAGTTTTTACAACTCATGTAAGGTGGCAAAAGTCATTGCCCTGCCCTGCGTCCTAGTCGTTCAAATAGCGTGGGTAGTGCCCACATATACTCCTCTTGCATTCTATTTCATGCAAAAAAAAAAACATTTTGGATAACATTTACTCAGTACCAAAATAACCAATTACTATGAAAGGGGCTTCAAATGAAGGTAAATCCAAGGCTTACAATTAGAGAACAGTCTCTCATACTTCTACATGTTATACAACCCTGTTCATGTAATTGTCCAATGATTTTGTCCCCATTGTAGAGTTATTCTTAAAAATGAGTGGGAAAAGCCAAAGGACTTATCTACCAAACTAGTACAAGGAAGGCAGCTGTAACATTTGTTTCTCAACTCATCTCCCTCAGTGCACATCAATCCTGCCCTTGAGAAACCACACGCTTAGGAGGAGAGACAGCCCTTCAGTCTCTGTGACCATCAATCTCTACTTCTCACCTTGGGAGTGCTTTCAAGGCAGGTCAATTGTCTCAAATACTGTGCCAAACAAATACGTGAAAAAAGTCTAGCCTTCACATCAGATTTTAAACAATTGAATCTTTTTTTTTATTTCTTCACTCTTATGCCCACTGTATAGATTTATATATTTTATGATTTTCATTTAACTCTCTCCTGTAACAGTACCTGCAGCTACACAATCTTGCTGCTTTTAGATTAAATGACTTGTGACACTGACCCCCCCAAAGTCACACACACCACTCTGCCTTTACAGACCATGGATACTACAGTTCTGTTGTTGTTGCTACTTAAAATACTATTCTTCCTTAAAGGAGCATCTTTTTTTATAGCACCAAGCCAATACACAGTCCATTGTGGGTCATCTGATTTGAGATCGAATACACCCCAGTTAGTGAAAAAAACATCATATCCATATCTGTTAATCATTTGCAATGGACGTGCCTATTGAATAAGAACTCGCCTCCTTGATGATAAAAGACAGAATATTGTTTTTTCATTCCCTTCCAGTTTGTCCCACCAATGTTGTGTCATTGCTTCTCCTTGCCAGCCACAGTTGAGATAAGTCAAATGGGGGAGGAGATGTAACTTGGTTGTATTCGATGACAAGCTTTGTCTGAGATGGGGACTGTGCCATGAGCTCCCTCTTCTGACAAAAAGATCAGCTGGTTAATCACCATGTATTAGGCTGAGGCACATACTGTAGCTAATGTACACAACATTAGCTTCTTCTTTGATAACCAGACCACAGGAAGAAGTTCCTGATCATTTAGAAAACCAATTCCAAGAAAATGGGTCATATGACTGCAAAGTAAACAAAATGAACCTAAAGATCAGGATGTTCATCTCAAGTTGTTGATGGCTATATGGCATTATGCTTTTCCTCCCCCTGAGTTTTGTATTACCTATTTAAACTTTACAATCACTGACTTCAATTAGCCATTGAAACCTCACTTTTCCCAAGTCTTTAGGTGTTAATTATTTTAAGAGCCCTATAAAACCAGCAAGACTGTGGTCTGGCAGCAGGAAACAATGACTGCTGTAGACAACATCTAAAAAAAAAAGCATCATATTGGAGTTAACTGAACAGCCTAAATACAGAAGGTGGTAAAGACAATGGGATCAAAGCCTTCATACAGAAACGCTTTTGCTGAGTATTAGAAAAGAGTAAACAAGACAAGCATGCAGCAGGCATTTTAAACATTATTCCTTACCTGAAAGACTACTGAGTTATTTACAATCTAAAAGGTATCCTACATGTAAAATTCTTCAGGGAAGTGGAAAGCAAAGAAAGATTAGCCATGAAGCAAGAAGAGGGCTGTACAAGAAACTTCACATAACATAGTAAAAAAGTAGGAAAATTGTGGTGTTATTACCTGTCCTCTTAAACTGAGGCTTTGTGAATTGATAAATTAGAGAAGAACACTATATCTGAATACACAACATTGAGGTTCTTGTCCTGATAATATGACCATGGCCAATGTAGAATGAGTGGTACTACATTTAAGTGATAACTATAAAACAGGATGTTTGTTCTTTATTCACAGAGAATACGTTGAAATCCAAAATACTTGTGTGAAAGAGTTTTATTTTATTTTTGATTACATTATGACAGAACATCTACAAAGATGCTGCCAAGTACAAATACATTAAAATGCCAGTATAATACAACTTTACCGGTTAAAACAGAATTGAAATCATTCTTGTTTTATTCTTTAAAATAACACATATGCACAGGGTGAAACACTGCACACATTAAAAGACTGAGCTGCACTTTAATTGCAAAACGGAAGGTTTGCTTGTGCAGTATTAAAGTATTAAAGGTGATCAGGAATGAGCTACCAGTCTGTATAATTGTTTCGGAGGGCTTTATAATCATTATATTTTTTATCCCTCTGGATTTGCATAAAACAGCCAAAATTGAACAACATTAATGAACTCCTAACTATTTAACTTAAACTTTGCTGACTAAGAACTGTTATATCCCTTAAGAACCCTTTCTGACTGGTATCTGCCAAGGGCTTGCCTAATGTACTACTGTGTGTGATATAAAGCAAGCCAAAGTGGTGAGATGAACCTTTTTCAAAGAACAATAGGTGCTAAAACCTGCATCATTCTATACTGCAAGCTCTTGTGAGCATAAATTCATACACAACATGCTATATAGAAAAATTATTTTAAAAATACAGGTAACCGCTGTGTATGTTTTAGAGACACACAAACCAATTAAACATTTAATGTTCCCTAAATATATTACAGACTAAAAATTAGCCAAGCAGGCGAGACAAGGATCCTGTGCCAGCCTAGCTCTGCAGTAACTAGGTCAGTCGATAGTTTACTGTGGAAAACAAATGCTGGAAAACACTGGTGAATAACACATTCAACCCTGGCCTACCCCACTGTAAAAAAGGTTTAAATCAATACTTAGGATCCTACCAGGCCATATTGCCGTGGGCTGTGTTGTCAAGGTGACAGAGCAGCTCTAGGGTCTGTGGGTTGCTTGATGAATCATCAGGGGATTCATGACTGCCTGATTCCAATTCCTTCGGCATCCTCCACACAGCTGCACATGTTACCACTTTACTGTCTGAAGCTAAGCAACAGAGACCAATGTTAGCACAGCATCTCAGTTATGACAGCCACTACCCTATTCAGCAGTTAGAACAAAACAAAATACATTAAGACAATGACCTCTATCTACGGTCAGTGTCTCATTCAACATTATTTTCTGAATAGCTTGAATAATTACCAGTTAATTATACTTATGTGCATGCTTTAATAATGCAGCTGACGCGTGCTTTAACTGATGTATGTCAATAATACCTATGTATTATTTAACAGAAAACTAAACTGCTTGCTGAGGCACCAAAATGTTCGAATGCCAAAAGAAGTGATATGCTACAATTATTTTCTGCTGCAATTTCTGCAAAAGAATGATAGTAATTTTTATTCATGAAGCGCCTTTCCAAACCCAAGAATGCTGAAAAGCATGATTTGTCAATAGAGTTGTCAATATCAGATAAAAATACAAAAAATAAAAGTACATCAAAAGTTTGTTTTCAAAATGCAATTTAAGTAACAGTTCCTGGAATAGTTTGTATATGAAGATACATAACAAAAGGGGAGAATCAAGACTGCACCTTGAAGACAAGCACATATTGTTCATGCTTCATGAAATCAATAAATCTGTTTGTACAGTTTTTGAAGATCGTATTTTGGAGACCCTTGATTTCATATTTCAATACGTTGATCCAACATGTTTCAGCTTCCATTAAAACACATGGCTGAATAATAAGTACTGTAGGTGCAGTAAATAATATCACCAAGACTAGCTTTCAAATCACTCTAGCAATTGTACACTACAGAAATATTTTAAACATGGATGCGCTATACAGACAACATTTTAAACTATGTCATCAGTAATGTTGCACACAAAAACAATTGAATAATAAGAAACAAGAGGAGACCTTTCAGCACATTTATTTTTTTCCAAATATAGTTTTTCACTAGGTACAAGACATGTCAGAAACAGTGAATCCTAGGGTAAGACATCTAGAATTAAAAATATATGTAAGTCAGCTGGCTTCATATCATATCAAGTACGAAAACAATCCACAGCTGACACAAATGGGAACAACTTTGGCCAAGGAGTTTGGTAAAGAGTGCCCCCAGAGGCTAACTTTTACGTTTCATTCATTAAAATGCCTGTATCTAAATGTGTGCCAACATTTACATGAAAATAACATTGGCTTTAACCAAATAAACCTTGAGGAACTCAGAACTTAACATCTCTACTGCTTTTAAAGTATTTAAGTGCCTTTTCTAACCACAGAGTATGTCTATACATGTGTATTTCCAACTGTGTTTTAGTGCCTTTTTTACAACAAATAAGATTTTCACTTGAATGCAGGGGTCTTTCTTATCTAATGTAAGGGAGATAATGCAGGAAAATACAATAGTTAACTTTCACAGGCTAAATGTTTTTTTTGGCCATTTGGACCATTGAGCCTGGTGGAAGAAGACACTTAATTCACCTTCTTTAGCTTTAGCTACTTCATTAGATTGATCACCTTCATAATTCATTTTTTTCTGTTCAGCCAGGCACGTGCATGCATCAAGCTTTTAATCAATTAAATATATAACTGGAGACAAATGTGGTCACACTCTCATCCAAACGTACAAATTGAAACCTGTCATATTCCTACTGATAGGATAGTTATAAACCAGGATTAGCTACAGTCTTCAGCCTTGTAGACTCTAATTTAATGTTTAATAGTTTCTTCATGTTCATTTATTTTTTAATTGCCTTGAGGCGACAATGGACATACAGAGTGCCAAAATTCAAGACTGTGACTGAGTTCTTTTACCAGCAATGCCTGCAAAGGATAGCTAGGAAAAAGGTCTGGCAGGGTGGCAAGCATGGACTGAGAAAAAAATTCTATTAAAAAAAGAAATGCTTACTTACTTTTGTTGTAACAGGTTGACAACACACTTTTATCTGCAGGACTTGTGCTTATATGCCATATTTCTCCAACTTGGTGGAGGAGAACATTCTTATTAATGATATTATTTTCATCATCAAAGTCAATGATGTGAATCTGCAAAAATAAAAATTCGTTAGTTAGGACGTGTCTTCCTTCAGCACCATTCTAAAGGCTTGCTTCATGAGATGACGAAATACCTCTGATACTGTGGTCTGACATTTTTGAGCTGACATAATTTTGTACCTCTTTTAAACAATACAAGTTCACACTTCTGAGCTGATGCTACATTTAAATAAATTTTAAAAATGACCAGTGGCATACAAAAGCATGTGAGAGGGTGGTAGGTTACTTCAGATACGATGACAGTATTTGTCTCCATATTTCCCAGAAGGCAATGCGAATGATCTGTCATCCTCTGTCACCAACTGGGGAAAGACACTGGTTGGGTAACATTTAAAAGCCAGAAAGCAGAGGCTTCCAGATAGCTCCTGAACACTGCTAGTTAGCAGAGTCACTGTTATGTGCAGCAGTGGGAAAAGGAAGTATGAAGACAAGCAATCAACAAGCCTGCAGATGTGCTTATTGGTGAGAGTTTTGAAAAGTTTTTCTTTTTGGAAACAAATTGGTGAAAGATTTTGGTTTTGTGAAGCCAGTAAGTGGCTAAGCTGCTCAGCTACTTATAGAGAAAGAAACAAAAGAAGTTAAGCTAGAGCTCAAACAGATCTAGGCTTCTGTTTTTAAATTTTGTTTGTGTTGTACTAATAGTAATAAGGTGTGAACTCTTTTTACACAGCTATGTGCTGAAGTATTATTTTCATGTGCTAAGGTGCCTGAGTCATACTACCTAAAACACATCTTTCACAACCATAAAGTCAAGTAGTTAGTTGACTCCACTAGTACCTCTACTGCAGATCCTCCTAAAACTCCCACATATATAGTATATAGTCAGAATAACCAGTATCATCATTTTACATAGTTTTAAACTGTCATCCTAGAAGCTGTACATAGCACTTGCACATGAACAAAATAGGCCAAGAAAGAAATATTAGAAGTCTAGTGACATCATAAAAAAGCACTTATATGCACTTAAAAGAGATGTATTTCTGTATGTATTCAAAATAACCATAATCCGACCCTGACTGGTTCACAATTCTGGAGACAGAAGACAGCACTTTGTCATAAATAAGAAAGGACAAAGGAATTTGAAACCACAGCCAAAAACTGAATGAATAATTGAATCACAAAATTTAATGGTGCTATTAATCTAATGTTTGGACACAGCTTAATCGGGTTCTGAAACTACATGTGTTCTTGTGTGAACTACATGTGTGACTATTCATTGGTTTCATACTGAAGAGTGTTTCAGGATTAACACAAAGCTATTCTCATGCTCTGATCTGTGTAAAAGAATTACCTGAAAGATACCTGTTGGGAAAAATAGATGTTAGACATTTTAATGAGATGTTGTTTCAGTATGGCACAAGGAATATTAATTGGTTGCACCTGGCATTAATTCCAGACATTCATCTCTTCTGGACAAGTTTTATGGGGAAGTTTGCATCAATGAACAAGGCCCTGACACCTCTTCAGACAGTTGAAAGGCAGAGGAAACCATTAACCTTGGACTGGACCACACTAAACAAAAATTATTACGCCAAGTTATAATTTTATGGAGCAGAGCTCTACAGATAAATTTAGATCACTGGGCAGTATAATTGGAGAGAAAAAAAGAACATGTAACAGGGCATTAGGTGAATTGGTCCAATGGACAAACCCCAGATATGATTTATGCTATTTTATATATGTGATGCAGAATGAGTCATCCCACTCAGACGACTTGGCCTCTTTTCCATCAATTTTAAACATCTTGAAAAAACTAATGACCTGGACATCAACTTGTGGGACCTCTGTGAGATTTTTAAGACCAAGATTATTCTAAGTTATATGTCAAAAATATATAACTCGCATCAATGCAAAATATATATATATTTTTATATACTTCATGGTTTTTTAGTCATACAGTGCTGCTGTGATAAGCGTCGATATTCCAGGCTATCCCAGATAAAGCTGCAATCAGCAGGCGGAAGATAAAAGGTAAATTGGTCTGGCATGCAATGAAAGAAGTGTGACAAAAATACTGCACCATACCTTTCCAATGTGCTTGCGAGGAGTGATTTGGGTTATTATAGCCTAAGGGATTGAGCGCTAAAGCTGTCAGTTATGTATGTAGCAGCAGAAGCATGTAACTACCACCCACTTCCTGCTAGGCTAAGGATAATCCTTTTAATTTACAGTAGATAAACACTGTGATAAACATGAAAAATATAAACCCATTTTAGTCAGTTCTATTACTTAAAAACACTGAAAATTCCATTTTATTCTAGCTCTTTAAAATTCTGAACAAAAGGCTAAAAATGTGAAAAATAAACAGCAGAGATAAAAAATAGCCATTACAGAAACATAAAAAAATATGTCTTGTAACTAACATATACACATAAGCTCCTTTTAGTTATAAACTACAAGTATTTAGATCCATTACAGGTATAAGAAACTGCATAAATACAGTTTTTCTTTTGTTGTGAATGAAGTGTAAGTAAAAAATAACAACTGATATTTTCACATAAAAATAATAAATTATTAATAGGGTCTTGATTTCTTCCTTACTAATCTTCAAACATATTCTTTTAACTTATTCCTCCAGTGCCAATAAATTAATATAGCCTCTTCTTTCTTTATTTATTAAGCAATCATCCCATTGTGTAACCTTACGTAATTACTACAACGTAAATGCATAAGCGTATAGAATAACAGTGATGTACAGTATATGGCTACTGGCACTTAAACATGTGCTTGTTCAATTCAATAGCGTCAAAATGAATCCAGCAAAACTACATTTTGCAGGTTCATGTATACAGTACATGTTTAACAGGATAAAAAATGCTGAAATCTCAAACAGTGTAAAGCAAAACAAAAATAAGAAAGCAAACATAATTATCATTACCATATGGTTTACCCACTTTCCTGTCATAGATGAATAAAACTGAATACCTGCTCATGCAAATAAACTCTTATTTTAGCACCAATGGAATCGGTGACAACAAATAAGTGATACTGTTTAATCTTTCATTTTATACAGGGAAATTATTTTTCCATTTCATTAAAAAAATAATCCAAATACATTCCACTGCTGATTTCTGGATATGTGTTTTGGGTTGAATATCCTGACTGCCTTGAGAAATTTGTGAACTTTCTGAATGAAATGTGCATTTTTTAATTGCAGATTATTTTTCAATAGTCAGATTAATAGCAATTTCACTGAAGCTCTTGACACACAATTTTTTGTGTTGTCTGTACTTTTAAAATTGAAGATTTATGGTTTTATACTGTACTTTGCCTTTGTTGTGCCAATGCTCAGTGTGAAATTATTAATTCATCCATCTTAGTATAGATTTTTTAATTTTACAATTAAACCAGTGTAATAGAACAGGCATTTGACCAGCAACTCTATCATCTGTTACAATCGGAGAGATCAGAGTTTCCAAACCTTGGGAATTTCTTTCAACATGTTTTCAGTTAAAGTCCATGAATTCTTTAAACTCGAGAAGACCACTGACCTTGTAGCAGAATGTACAAACTGATGCCTGTGATATCCCTATAAGTTAGTTGATTTAATTCAGCCAGTTTCTATTGATTAAAAACAAATTTAAGTATCTGAAAATGTTTTGTTCGAAAATTCAATCACACTTATAATATTACTATGTACATAAAATTTCATCTTAGAAAAACATCAATATTCTTATTAACACAAAGAGTCAACCTCATACTGAATAAAATGTACAAGTAACATTTTGAAATACTAGAATATTTAAAATTTCAGCTAAACCTTTACGTATAATGTATGTATAATACTTTTACAAATCACCAAAAGACTCAAAGTTGTAAAGTATGCAGTGGATTATATAAAAGTTATTACTAAGACTGCAGAGAGGGATTGGTGCCATGGACTGCCAAAATATTTTAAAAATAAAAAAGTGGTTGAAACTTACTAGGGAGGTCTGCTGCAGTCATGAGTCATCCAAGAGGAAATGTCACTCTTACTGTATTCGTATTAACCCCCCCATCCTTTATTCATTCCTCATTCCATAAGTACATACTCACCTGATTGTCAAATTTAAGAGACTGAGTACCAACTAGAAAGCGAATTGCATCTGTTTCTGCTGTCTGGGCTGTTAAAGCACGAGCCTGAAAAAAACGAATTCCCAACAACAGGTTTAATGCTTAATATTTCAGCGTGTCATCCTAAAATAAAGGTTCTTAGTTAATGTTGCAGATACTGTAACTGAGAATGACGGACAGAAAATCTGTAACTACAGGTAAATGCTAGAAAACTACAAAGAAACGTTAAGAATTTTGTTTAAGATAAATATGGAAAAAAACTGAAAAGATTTGGACAATACAAAACGTTTTATCCTTATTTGGCCTTCAAGGCTGCCAAAATATTTGCTACCAAAGGTGTTGCACTTGTGTATTTTACACAATGTAAAATAATTTAAATAACTGGGACTTTAATGTTAAGGGTATTTCACACATACAGTAATTGGAGTTTAAATCTGTCAGGTGCTGAGGACAGAACTGGACCAAAGCAGCTTTTAAAACAAGCAAAGAGTGGGTTGCTCAACACATAAAGTTTGAGCAAATGATTTATATGACAGTGGCACATTAACTATTCTGCTGGCGTACTTAGCTGTATTCATTAACAAATAAATTTACGCTAATAAGGATTAATGTCTTGTAATGGGTGTCTGAAGAAGGAACTATTAAACTGAATCTTCACAAGACCTGAACACAACCTTTAAGATTTTTCTGCCTCCTCAAATAGAGCACTTACATAAACATTTTTAGGTGTCCCACTTGTAGTGCTACAGTACATTCGGAATGCACAGATATGCCCAACAGCTTACAAATATCAATAATGCCTCACCTTGTTCTTCCTGTACGGCTATGGCCATGTAAGTCACACAGAAGATCAAGCATCAAGTAACTAATCACACTAAGGACTGCACCTAACCCAATCTCGATAAAAAGCCCTCAACATTTTGACTAATTTCATACCCACTGCAAGACGACAGCACATCAGAATTTCGACACACTTGACAGCAGCTTTGTTCACCCAGGAAGGCTTACATCTGCATCACGGAGACATGCTAACTTGTTCAGTTCAAAATTGTCATGCTGATGTCATGGACATCCAGTGCTGGCTAAATTGTCCCTTTTCTCCAGGGCTCTTCGTGGAGGACTAGGATCCTATCCAAAGACAGAGCAATCATGTACTCCTGCTTGCCATGACACTTATGAGGCTGAGCCATTGGCAGTGGATGGATGGACGGATATCAAAGAATATCTTGAAAGAGTCGATCTGATGCAGGAACATGCAAGATTCTTCACTATTCCTTTTCAATCCCAGTTATCAGTGATGTACTGTAATTGCTGTACCACAACCAAGATTTTACCTATTCACACACACACGCCTTCCTTTTAAATTGAATCTTTATTATCATTAACTAGAATAAAGATTCATTAACAACACTCACAAATCTCACATCAGGCATTCCACTACGTTGCTTAATTGATTTTAAATCTAAATCTAAAATTCTAAATCATTCTAAAAAGTTCTAAATACTTAAGTCCAGTAAACTTAACTACTGTTTTTAGCATCCGTTTACATAATGCTACAATCAGTATTTAATTATTAAGAAAGTAACGACATATCATATGGTATGACTTTGCATACTGAAGAGCTTAATATCAAAGAAATAAACACATGTATAACATCTCCAATCGAGAAGCGAGTGTTCCACAAGACATCATTAACTAAAAATTCAACAGCATACAGAAGCTCTCCTGCCCATTAAATGGAGAGAGATCTTGCAAGGAAGATAGGCACTGATAGGCACTATAATGGAATGCCATTCAAAACAGCACACACCTTCGAATGAATATAGAAATATTTGGTTCTTTGGTTGCAAGAAATGTGAAGCTTTCTAACAGCTTATCTTAATGGATTTTACGATTTGACTAGGTAACACATTGGTTGCTTTTATGTAACCTACAGTAATAAATTAACTAAGACTAAGTCTTGCCTTGAAAAATTATCACGTGCAAAGTAATACGAAGATCATTTGTTACAGTATATTGTCATATGCGGTATAATGCCTGTGAAAAATACCCCCCTTATCGTAATGGACTCTAATTCGATACGTAAAAATGAATCTAGGAAAGCAAGAAATGTACAGCAACTGCATCCCTTCATTGGAATTCTAGTGACTATAGAACAAAAAACGTTCTGCATTCTACATATAAAATATGTTTTGCATTCTGAGTAAAATGTATCTCATCACTTTTAAATACATTATTATGTGCAAGGACTATTTATTAGTTATACACATTTCAGGAAACGTTTTATCTGTACGTACCTGAAATTCAAGGCCATAAATAACAGGTGCGTCGTCCTCCATATTTAAACGTTTTAACACTTCACGCTAACGTTTAATTCGTCAGTTTCATTGATTCTGTCCTCACGCAATATAAGGTATCGATCACTTTAAGCTAACATTTCCGCGAACCACAAAAACATTGTGAATGTTCCGTCTAATTTTGTTACGCTATTTTACCATAACACAAAACAAATGCACAGGTTTCCCCGGCAAATGATCGTAAAGTTTTTCAGGAATACAAAACGACACGTTTCGAGGGCATTTGGTATACCTCGGCTTCCGTTGGTTTCTCTTCCTATTTGTTGTGCGCATGTGCCTGTTTTCTTCTTCTGTCATCTAGGAAAAGGTAAACCAGACGTACAGTATTTAGCTTTTAATATTTTAAGTTCTGGATATTATAAACTTGCTGTATTTATTTTTTGTGTTTTTTAAACGACAGTTTTGTGCAACTGTAACTTATATTTGATTTACAATGTGCAATATAGGTAGGAGGTGTTGATTTTAACGTTACTTTACACTATTTGGTTTTATATAGCTAGAGAATTTATTTTTTCAAACCCATGTAACTCTTCGGTGCGTTTGATCTTAGAAGATATTTGAAACAATATGAAACAAGATCAAAATATATCATGCATTTGATGATTGGATTATGAATTACAGTAGTTAGAATTTTAATGAGAGGTTTAATATAATCAACGAATAAGTTTTACTTGTATTTGTTTTTGCATGGTTTATTTCACAAATTCTAAAATAAATTAGATGTTTTAGCGCTTTATTTCTGTTATTTTGGAGTGGTCGATGACACTTGCATGATAAATATTGCACTTTTTTAAAGAAAACTAAAGGTACCTTAAAAGTCAGATCATTTTTCTCTGAATTGTACTGGCGTTAATGTACTTTGTTAAATGGATAATGATGCTCTTTCTTTGTGTTTATCTTTTTTCTTCTTTTTAGTTTTACTATTTACTCATTGTTTAGCCCTTGTTTCCCATTAGATATATTGTAAATGATTTTTGTTATACTATTAATTCACTGTTTCTTTTAAAGGGATAAAAAGCAATGGAAGGCAATAGTTCAAAAGCTCAAAATCGGGCATCTCTAACACTGGATATTGCTGGGGAAATGGGCAGTGAACGAAATGAAGATTCATCTGCCCAGGAAACTGAAAGCCAACCTCCAGAAATTTTCTTCCAAGAGGAAAATATTGACTTGGATTTGGAGTCATTTGTCACACCACAAGAAGAGAGCCATTCAGAAAATTTCATAGATAAACTTAACGATCAGATGATGGAGAGTGTCATGATATCAGACTCTCCGAATAATAGTGAAGATGATGCTGGCCAGATGGAATCTCTGCTGGAGCAGTTTGAAGAAGGAGGAGACTTTGAATCAAAAGAGACCGAATGCAGTGATGAGAAAACCATGCAAAATGTTGAGACACCTATAATCGAAAACCAAGGTGACCCTGAAGAGATGACTGTGACCCCTGCGGTTCAAGATGAGAAGCAGTGGGACCTCGAAGAAGAAACCAAAGGAAGTGAAAGGGAAATAATCCCTAGCCAGCCCATGCAGGAAGAATCTGATATCGGAAACGCCAAGGTCCAACATACAGATGTTTGCACAAACAAGGAGTCAAAGAATGAGCCAATCCCAGTTTGCACTATTTTCAGTCAAGGTAATCTACCTAAAACACAGTCCTTAATGCCAGATGGCTTTGAGCCTGCGCTGGTTAAGTCTCCTAGTTTTGGCAGCGCTATTGAAACCCCAACTAAACTTGCCCCTCTGGTCTGCCAGCCCAGCCCCAGTTTAAGCAAGTTTTTTGCTGACAATGGGAGCTCCAACCCTGCAACTGACTTCTTTGATTCTTTTACAACCTCATCTTCTTTCATATCTGTCAGCAATCCAAATGCCAACTCGCGCCTTCCAGCTCCTGAACTACAGCCTTCCTCTCCACCTGGACCTGTGGAACAGGAGTCTAGTACCCCTACATTTTTCTTTGCTGCTGCACCCCTGGAATCACCTGCTCCACAAGGTGCTGCTCAAGTGGCACATCCTTTCTCCAAGATGCAGGCCACCTTCCCAGGCAGGGATGACCCTTTTGCAACTGCCCTGAACATGAGTGAAATTGACAGGAGGTATGACGCATGGCTTCCCTCAGATGAAACAAGGAAGGTCTTGATTTCTGTTGCAACCCAGCAATACAGCCCTGTGTCCCTGGGAAAAGAGAAGCTCTCCATGCCTGGGCTGAAGTTTGACAATCTTCAGGTGAGTATTGTTAAAGGGAAAGGGAGTATTAAATATAAATATTAAATATATATATATTTGTACATGACATTGTATTGTAATGTCATGTATTTTCACACAGCTTTGTTAAGTGCCTTCGGGCAACCTTGTTGTGAAAGGTGCTATATAAAAATAAATTGAATTGAATGTATATGAAAATATATAAAAAATAGATAATCCAACAATATTGATCATTTTATATATATATTGTGATGCTGCAAGGGGCAGTGTCATCATTGGGCATGCAACAGACACACCCAACCCAAGCCATAGGGTTTGACTGTGCAATTCAAAGTGTGCGAGAAGTACATCAACCACCATTAAAGAAAACAACAAAGAAAACCTATCCCTTCGTTGGGCTCCTGGCTACTACTTATTCTCTGTCCCTAACTACTAAGCCCAGCAGAGAAGCTGCTTACTGGCTCTCGCACAAAAAAGGACATGTCCCAATAGTCGCCGTAAGCCCATATTCAAAGTCCACACTTCTGTGACATAGAGCAAGTGTGGACTTCAAGTGCGAGAGTAGTCGCGGGTGCATCGTTATAATAAGGGTAATGGCACTCACTAGTTACACTGGTCAAGGTCAAAAAGCTTTCTGTTGTTGATGCTTTTATTCCAAGTGCATGTCGGCAGATTTTGTTTAAAGAATTTCTCATTCGCCGTTTTCAGTTTTACAAGGTTGACTTGGCAATACCTCAAAGCTTTGTATTAATAACTATGTGTACTATTATATATTCTGTGTACAAAATACGCCACAGGTAAAAGAATATTCATCCGTCAAAATTAGGTGACAAAATAAAAGCTTTATGTCAAAACTTCATACCCAGAAAACATAAAGTATGAATCTAAAGTAGCCTAATGATTTTTTTTTACATAAAATATTAAGAATTTTAAAACTGTAAAAAGTGTATATTTACTAGCACATGAATATTTTATTCTCCATGGCAACATGGTTTTGATAGGTTAGAACATGAAACGTCACCATTCCATAAGAAATTGGGGGTAATTCCTAAGTGAAGTCTGCGGACTTCAGAGAACACAAATTGCAACACAGATTTAGAAATGTGAAATCCTAAGCTCTTGCAGACTTTAGCAGGAGCATGCATATGAAGTACACAAGATGGCAAGTGTACATATTGGGACACCGCCAAACAAACCCATTCTTCACATTTTCAAATGTCAGTGGTAGTAATGTCACACAGAGTACTGGTTCATACCACTGTCCACCACTCGCCTCTCTTTGCTCTCTTGCCATCCCTTTTCTGTCTCTCACCACTCTCTCTTTGTGCTGCCAGTTTGGTAGTTACAGTAGCTTATATGGGCTGTGTGAGGGCATCTAGCTGCTTCTCACTCTTACCGATTGCCAGCAGCCTCTATTATATGTTTGACAGCTCCTGTTGGCCATCATGGTAAGGGCAAAGCAGTCAGTACTCTCTGGACAAAATACCACCCCTTGAGGACCCTGCCCCCAGTGGCATTACCATGTGTATATATGAGGTATTAGAAACAAACTAGAAACATAAAATACACCTTCTGTAGCAAAGGATTAAATTATATTTAATGGTCATCAGTAAACTGTGACACTAGGTGAATTTTAAGCATTAGTCAGTTCAGTGTGGAAGTTCTGTATTTTGTACTTTGGACTTTGTGTTTCAGGGAGATGCTGTCAAGGATCTCATGCTGAGGTTCCTGGGGGAACAAGCAGCTGCGAAGAGAGAGGCTTTAACGGCAAACTCCGTGCATCAATCCTTTGAGGGCCTGAAGCAATTAATTGTGAGTGTTTGCTGAAACATTAGAACACTAGCAATTGTTGGTGCATGTCAGGGATATATAAAATATATGAAATTCTGGCATAAGAATGTTTATCTAAAATACCCTTTAAAAACAAGTCTGTGTTTTGTGAAGATATATCTCTGTATGTTCTGTTTCTGTATATATCATGCATCTTATGTCATAGGGAAAGCTGAACTTAATCTGGTTAAGCTTAAATTTTATGATTAAACTTTAAGGCAGCCCTATCTTCATGCTTCAAAGTCATGTTGTGCTTTCTGTTTTCAAAAATCCAGGAAGCTTGTTTTAAAAATCAAACAATCTCCAAACGCTGAAACATGTACAAAACCTTGCTACTCGGACTAGAAAGCAAGATTTAAGAAACAGACTTTTAAATCTTCTTCTACTGCTTAACATGCATTGCTGACATTGTAGCAACACAGTTAGAATACTCATTTGAATGAACTTGAGGCTCATAAACCCATTTATTGCCTTAGGGCCTTTAAAACCATTCAGTTTTACTTTAAAGGATGTGACCATGAATGGAGCAGAAAAGGCCATTGATCTCTGTACTGGAACTCAGTCCTGTCTGTGGTGTGGATGTCTGTCTGAAAATCATAACCCACTGAACAAAAGAAGTTAATACACTTTCACCTTCAAGACGGATTAATTAAATGTTAATCACATTTCTACTTCTACTTCCAGTGGGATGTTTTTACTTTTACAGTTGTTCCACTATAATTTGAATACCACCTAGTCTAACACAATATTAATGTTTTATGCTAACAACTTGTGATTCAGATAACTGGAAAAGCAAAAACACGAGAACTGAAATTCAGTATACTCTGTTTCCAGAATGTTAGATGATGACAAATAATTGAAGTGGTAGAAGTGCAACTGAAATCATTCCTTTCATGCGCTCAGCAGAACATTTGTGATCCCAGAGAGGTAAAAGATGAATAAATCTCAAAGAATACTATGGAAATAAACATTTCCTTTTTTGTTTTAGTTCGCCATTCTTTCCATGTTTTTTTTTTTTCCTCATGGAATACACCAATATGAAACTATTTATGTGTTTTATCTGTCTACCCTGCTCTGTCCAAAATTTCAAACAGCACTGGGGCTTGTTCCCTGGAAAGAGTTACATTTCTGCGGCTCCAAATTCAGCTCATGCAGCTTGTTCGCTGACCCGCTAATGACCCCGACCCAATTTGGCATTTAGAATTTCCTCACATATCTTAAAGAAAAAAAAAATATGCTGGTGTCAACGCCATTCTACAGTGCACATGTATAATGTATGATGCTTTTGTTTGAAGCTTCCCTCAGTCACTCAAGCTGCACCTGGAATGTAATGAGACAACACAAAATTCATATTCAGAGCAGACATCTGTATGCCGGATGGGCCACATAAATACCTGTATACATGGGATTCATTTAACTAGAGGTTTTATTTTTCTACATAACAAAGGTTTTTGACTAAAAGAAGTATAAATCCTTATATTATGCTTATAGTTCTCTAAAATATTTTCCAAGAAAATTGAATATTAAATATTATTTACAGTATTTACAGTGAATTGGCTGTGCATCTGTAATTACTATATGAGAGGTTTTGTAATGAACAATGTGTCGTCTGTTGTAAAATTATATATTGCTTTGATGGATGGATGTTTTTGAATGTTGCATTTGGATTTCTAGCCTCCATTTTTAAATTCCCGTCTGTTAATGGTAAAGATCTGTAAATATTTTCAATAAATATATATCTGTTAAGTAAATATTTTACAGAAGACGGCGTACTTCAAGACGTTGCATGTACTTTATTGTATCCTAAAAGTCAGCAGTCTCAGACTACTTTCATTTTATATAATTTTACAGATATTATTTATGAAAGCTATTTTATACCATGTATTTTTCGGAATCATTCCTAGATATCTTGTTTTCTTGGCATTGAAACATTGGCACTGAAACTATTGAAAACCTTAGATCGTGATCTGGTTTCTAATTACTTGGGGAAATTAATCATGGTTGTTTTCTGTGAGAATCTGTTGTAGATGCTGTGTGCAATACCTTACCCTTATTTAGAAATCTATTTTCATAAATGCATTTTTTTAGTTCTGCAATGGGGTACTGTAGGAATGTGATAGTGACTCATACTGCAGTGGCAGTGCCTGACTGCACTGTCTCCTGCTGTTCCCATTTCCAGTAGCTTAGCAAAGAGAAAAGCTGTCTGGTTGAAAAAATTAAAGGACTAGAAGGATCCAGCACTGATGAGTTGACACAGTAGTGTATTTATACCGGTTTCTTCCAGAAAAGACACAATTGATCTTTGGTCCTGTAAATTAATGTCAGTTTAAAAAACTAAATTAAGAATACAGTTCTGCCAATAAAAGATGCAATCTGTTCTACTTTATATTTCTCTTCCTCTCTTGGCAGGTATAAAATGTATTAATGGGCAAATGAAATGCCCAATTTCTGGTTGATGAAATTCCACGGGCTTTGGACAAGGTGATCCTCCTATGAGTAGCATCAACCAGTCCACATTTCCTCTTCAGTCTTGTTTTCTCTTCCTGCCATCCTCATTCCTAATCCTTTCCCAATGATTCTGTCTTCTTTGGAGATAAGCACCCTTCTTTTCTCCACTGGCAGGTACTCTCCTGTCTTGTTCTTCAAGAGTTGGGTTATGCAGGTCTCTATGCTTAGCTAATTCTTTGAGGTAGATGATGGCAGAAGCTATATATCTGGAACAATATAGAGTTTATTTTCTTCTCTCTTTGAAAGAACATGGTCTCCCAAATACATGAATAGCTGAAATGGCTGAAATGTTTCCATTAGGTGGACAGGTGTTTGCATCATTCAACTGCTATATATCATTGCTGTCTGTATGTTGGATTTTAAGTGAGTAAATATATAGGCTTTGGTATGTCTACATGGTACAGAACTTTACTTAAGGACAGATGGCTGATTTCCCTTGTTGACTGCATCACCTTTTTCTACATGGATGTTCATCTGGGAAATGCTGAGCTAGGAAAGGCTACTTACTTGTTACTTAACTTGTTACTTAAAGACTTAATTGTTCATTTCGAAGATCATTTACATTTTCTAGACCTGTAGTACTTAATCCTAGTACTGGTTTACCTTTGATTCTGTTGGTATTTGTTCTAGCTGTAATCTTAGTCACCTGTGCTAAATGTTGCTAGTAATTCATATGTGTGCTTATTCAGGCTTTTTGTTTTCTACACTCATGGTTTCAAAAATTATATGATGCTATACAGTGGTTATCAATCTTGGTTCTTGGTAACTTCTGTCTATTCTGATTTTTGCTAGAGTGAGTTCTTAATTACAGGTTAATTTATTTTAATTTTCTACTATCTAACATTTTAAGATGTTTTTTTTTTTATTTTGTTACATGTCTTGCAAAGCAGAAATGAGATTTATAATAGATATGAACCCTGTATTAATTATCGAGTTTCAGGATTGTCTTCATGCAGGTGTTTTACTGACTGGACTGAAGCAAAAGGAAAAGCACTGACATTTTGTGGGTTTTGAACAATTGAACTCCCACCTGTGCCTCTTCATCATTAATTGGTCATGTGTTAGGAGCTGTTTAATAAGAAATAAGTTTATAATTAGCCAGTTGTTTTATGGTCTGTTTTACTGAGAAAATAATGTATTTTAACGAGGGTATTTTTTAAAATCAAGGTCTGCTTGCTTGAAAAAGAAAGTCGAAACCAGGAAGCAGATCAGTTACAGGCACCAATTAATACTGGTGATTAAGGGCCCAGTTGGAACAAAATCCAGCAGATACAGGGGCACTCCAGCATTAAAATTGTTTCAGATCACAGTGTGATCTTAAAATGCGTTCTGCTCAGGAAATGTTCAGCCAGTAAATTCCACACTTGGTTAAAATATAATTATAATATTGTAATGAGTTATAATTATAAAATAAGAGGCTATCCAATCAGTTATTCAAATGAAGTATATTTGGATCAGGAATACAAATCAGCATATAAGAATCAGGTCCTGACAGCAGCTTGCTATGCAAGCAAAATATAAAGGCTAATACTAAATTAACCCCCTAAAGGGATTACCAAGTTGTATGTGGCACGTGTGTTCTTGATTCTCAGGCACAGCTTGATAGACTAATGACCAGGCAGCAAGCCTGTACAGAACAAATTCAGTGTTTCAGCTGCAAATAGATATTAATAAGTCTGTGAATATCAGAGTTCTGTCTTCTACTGACAGAATATCCCAGAAGTCTGCCCCTTTAATCTAAACAGTAAAACACCTTACAAAGCAATGAGAAAACCGGTGTCCTATTAAAACACTCAGGAGTAATCTTCCTCTCTAACCAGAAGCTTACAAGTGAATGAGAACCAATTTCCCTATTCTAACACTGCATCACTAGCCCAGGAGAGATGTTTTTTAGCATGAGGATTCCACAATATATAAAATAAATACGACGGCTAACACCTTTTATGAACAGTATGGCTCTTTTGCAGTGTTCAGTTTACCTCACAGAATCTGATTTCATGTCTGATTTGAAAGAGTTCCATGATACAATCTTCTTGATGATGTCTGTTCTTTTCTTCCTGTCTTTTTTTACTGTATTGCTGTATTTACCCTGTCATGAGGCCTAGATTTTCCCTTGATCCATGCTCATGGAAGCTGGTAGTGTTCTCCCCATGAATGGTCTATAACTGTTGATTATTTATGTTTTAATATGGCTGACTTAATCATTCAACAGTGGTTTAGTTAACGTCGGTTATTAGAAACACTCCTTTCATCATCTGTAAGGCAGCTGTGTAAATATAGTAGAATAATACCCATTGCCTTGTACCTTTGGAGAAAGGTAACTTTGTTATTAAGTACAAATGTTGCCAACCTCACTGAACTCCCCTTACCACAACAGTATATTACAATGGTGCTCTTTCATAAGTCACAATGATTACCTTACCGCTGTTGGTTATTTTCGCCATTGTATTCCGAACATTAAAACGTCTCAAGAC